AATTTATATACAAAATCTTATAATATGCTACAATTATCTTAAAGCAATCCTCTATAAATTTTTGATAATCAATTGATTAATCAAATAAATAACATATACACTGTAATGTACTTCAAATATTCTATAATTTGAGCTTTCATGAATGACATACATACAGTAGGACCTCTGTAATTTTGCCACCCAAGGGACTGTAACAAACTGGCTAACAAACTGAGGTGGTCAACGTAAGAAACTACTGTACTGATATGTACATGTGGTGCATGTCTGGTCTATAAAAATGAGGTCAGCTTAAGGAGGTGGTCAGTGTAGGGAGGTGGTTAACTATGGAGGTTCTGCTGTATTACTTTAACTGAAAATCAATTAAATGCCAACCAAAGTTTTGATTATTTGAAGTAATAAGTTTAAATTGTGCTATTGTTGGAAAAAAATGCTAATACTAAAATGACAGAGAGAGTAAGGGAATTAACAGCGACTCCATTTGATAGACAAAGTACTGTGGAAATACTATACATCATATAGACAATGAAATGTAAGGTAACAGAACAAAGTTTCCAAATCTCTACTTCCACCTAGTGGTAAAATCAATTGCCTTTAAATACTAAGCAGTTCAGAAGAATGGCACTCTCTCCTTAATCTACAGTTTTGCTTTCTGTGGTTTTGGTTACCTAAAGTCAACCATGATCTGAAAATCAAATGGAAAATTCCAGAAATAAATTCATAAGTTTAAAATTATGCCCTATTCTGAGCAGTGTGATGAAATCTCATACTGTCCTGCCTGAAACACAAATTATTCCTTTGTCAGGAGTTTCTATTTTAAACCCACAATTATAAATATGTTCAAAGACCTAGAAAACAATGTCTAAAGAATTAAAGTGTGAGAATAATTTCTCACCAAAAAATATCAGTAAAGAGACAGAAATGATTTTAAAAAGGACTAAGTGGATATTTTATACTTGAGAGGTATTATAACAGAAATAAATAAGTCACTAGAAGGGTTTAACAGCACATTCGAATGGAAGAATGAATACTAAGCTCGATGACATGTCAATTTAGATTATCTGGTTTGTAGAACAGAAAAAGAATGAAGAAAAATAAAAACATCCCAGACTTGTGGGACAGCACCAAATATACCAACATAGGGATAATGACAGTGCCAGAACAAGAAAGAGAAAGGGGCAAACAGAACATTTGAGGAAATAATGACTGAACACTTACCCATTGGTGAAAACATTAATCTACACATTCAACAAGCTAAACAGATTACACATCATAACCACATAGTCAAAAATCAAACATGATTCTGCTGTTTTATGAGATTTAAGCAGCAAGTATACCTAAGCCTATCTATATATTATTTCAACCAATTTTATTTAGGTACAAAGTAACACATGATTATCATGGGAGTTTTTAAAAACACAAATCAGAATGAAAATTCTTTCACTATTCAAAATAAAGAAATCACTATTAATAATCTTAGATAGTGTTCCCCAAGAATCTTTTCCCCCATATATCTAGGCTTTAGGTGAATTTTAAGAACAGCATAGTGGTAATAAAATCACACAGGAATTTTGTATTTTTAAAATCTATTATTATTTCATGGGGAGGAATATTTATTTAATAAATGCCAATTAAATGAATTATGAGTCCCTGCTGAGAAGAGCGGATCAAGTGAGGAATCAACAAGACCTGGTACTCTGGGCAGATGCCCATGAAGAGCTGGCTACTTCCTGCTGAAGACAGCTGGTTTTCACCACTGAGCAGAAGGGAGAGTATTTAATGCTTCCAAGTTTAGAATAGTTTGTTAATGCTCACTTTTAAAAAATCTCTAATGCTACAGAACTAATTATTCTTGGCCTCTCTTCTCCACTGGTATTCCTACCATAGTGAGACGTTTTCATCTAGGTACTCCTGAGTCAGTTGAGAGTGTACAACAATTAGGGTTTTCATAGTTCAAATCATCATTGATATTAACTAACCACATCGGACTAAAATTCTCCCTGAGAAATGTTAATCCTTCGTCCTTCTAAATTTCTATATTTAAAATAGAAGATGCTTACAAAAATCCTCCTGCATGTTTTTAAAAAGAAATTACTATCTTTTATTTGATCATTCTCATTCTACTATTGAAAAGTTACTATATAGAAAAGTATGAAATTATTACAAAAGAACTGTTTCTTTCTTTGAAGGAATCTGTTTTCTTTAATTTAGTAGTACTGGGGATGACTCAAAGTCAGACTTCAATGAATTTTAAAAACCAAAGATGTCTTCCCCACAGGCTATATAAGATTAAATAGATAGAATTATTACTCACAAATAATTGGATATCCATCCCGGCTAGCACAGGCTGCTGCTAATATTCTTCCATTGTGGGAGAAATCAAGACAAAAACATCCTCGTTCTCCTGCATTTAGTGAGAAGAGGTGCTTGTTTGGAATACGGCAAGCCTAAAATGCCCACACATTTTAAGAAGATAAATTAGAAAATATTACAATGCAAAGGCCAATTGTTAATTTCAATTACTGTAGTTTTGTTAAGCCCCTTTACTGTGATGAAAAGAAAAAGCAAGTAAGTAGAATGATGAAAAACCACTGAAAATTACATTTTTAAACAGTTCCCATCAAATTTTAAAAATGAATTTGTTCTTCAAGTCTGACTAGTACTGAGCTCACTTAAAATGAGTAGAAAAATTTTAATATCTGATATTCTAAAGCTGTCACTGACACATGCTTTTATATAGCCACAAAAAAGAACATATGCCATATCTGTATCCCATGACAGCACTAGTAAGTCACTTTTGCTAAAGTTACAAATTTGTCTTAAGAACACAAATATGCTATTGGTTCTAGCACAAGGCCAGGATGTATGAATGTTTGTTCTCTTTTAAAATAACTACCTTTTGTAGTTGCCTTCCAAAATGTATTTTTGAAGTAATCAATCACTCCTTATTAATCTCTCATTCATTAACTGTATTATAATTTCTTCCTAATTATGTTATTTTCATTACTTATTACCAAATGAAACTAAAATTTTATGGGTATTAGTATCTATTGTAGAAAATACTTCTTTATATATTTATCCTAATTCAACCTTCAGTGAGCCTTAATTCTTATATTTATTATTCAAAAAGCTGAAACGAACATACACTGGGCCCTTATATATGCCATGAATGTTGTACCTTTTTACAAATGCCTTTGACTATCTTCATCAAAGCAACCCTAAGAGTAGCTATTAATAGCTAGGAGTAACCATTATCAGCAATGTATAGCTAATAAGGATTATTCAGAGGGTCAAACCCAGCTTAGAAGGCCTAGACAAAGACTATTATTTCAAAAGCATGCTTTTAGGTGCCAGATTTTAAAAGATAGCGTCAAGATTTAGCAGTACCTCAGGAGGCAAAATTATGAGCAGTTACTAGACATATGAAATATTCAACAGATGTCAAATCATGTACCAGACACCATGCTACCTATCTTAATCCAATCACATGATTAAGAAAAGGTAGAGAGCTGTTAAAAAAACGACAAAAATTGGGCCATGCCTGTTGCTCAGTGGTTAGGGTGCTGGGCCCATATACCAAGGGTGGCGGATTCAAATCTGACCCTGGCCAAACTGCAACAAAAAAATAACTAGGCGTTGTGGCTGATGCCTGTAGTCCCAGCTACTTGGGAGGCTGAGGCAAGAGAATCACCTAAGCTCAAGAGTTTGAGGTTGCTGTGAGCTATGATGCCATGGCGACAGGGTGAGACTCTGTCTCAAAAAAAAAAAAGACAAAAATTGAAGGGAAACCACTTGTTGCTGCTCCTAGAATATGAAGTGTAGTTGAGGAAAGCTCCATGTCTAATCTAACCTAGGCTACAATCACCGAAGCCAGTATCATGTTCTTTGATTTCCCAGGGATTGACCTTCTGCCCTCCGCAAAAAAGGTACTCAATGAAAGTTTGATAATAAAAATAAAGGTCTTCAACTGCTTGGACTTCTTCCCTCCTTTACTACCTTGTCACTAAATCATGAAAGTTCCTACTTTTTGTCTTTTATGTGCATGTCTTAGTTTTCATTTTTGGCACCATTAACCCAAGGTTAGGCTCTTACCACCTCACACATCAATGACTGCCATCTAATTCTGATTTAACCTACTTTAAGACCTCCCACATCATTGCCAGAATTTATTTATCCTCAACAACGATCATTACCATACTTCTATCCTGCCCCCAAACCTTCCATTATTCCTCACAAGAAGTATTAGGTTTTTAGACTTTATCTTTTTTATAAACTTTGTTTTTGAGTGCCTAATGAATATAAAAAATCCTTTCACACTTATTTACTGCTTTGCCTCCATATGAAATACCCTTCCCTGTCCCTCTTCTCTTACTCCTAACTAACATGGCCATTCTAATCCACCTATCTCAAGCACCAAAGCTGAACGAATCCTTTTCCACCATTCTAACTCACTTTCTTCATATATGCAATTCTTGAACTCTTTTGGTTCCAGTATACTTTATGGTACGAAACTCCTAGAGAAACCAAAGGTCTTTGTTTATGTGGAAATATCTATGAATAATATTAGATTATAAATCATAATAGAAATTAAAATAGAAAAAATCTAAATATTTATTTGAATATTATTTAAATATTTAAGTAAATATTTACTTAAAAATAACAGTATTAAAGCCTTTAAATATTAACATAAATAACATATTTTATGAAAAATAATTACATAAAATGAAACTGCTTTGTATTTTTAAAAATCTCTTTAATATCCAGGTTAGTAAAAGCTAGATTTTTTCAATAGAAGCATTCCCTCTATTGTGATACCCCCATGTCATTTAGCCTCTGGAAACCTTTAGTGGATACTTGTGAGAGAATAAAATGAAAAAAGACTAATAACATTTCAGGATCATTGTGAAAAGAGATTTACTTCAAGGACACCCTGAAAGGGGCTCTTGACTCTTAAACAGATCCCCAAACCACACCTGAGAAGCACTGATCTATATAATTATCTCTCTACATATCTTTCCTTAGACTTCTCTGAGGCATACCTGAAAGTGAATGATATTATATAACTGTTCTTTTCCCACCTAACTTGAAAGGTCCCCAAGGGTATATTCTAAGTGTTATTCTTTCCATTTTATTAAATTTGAAGTATTCTAACTCCACTAAAATGACTTTAAAATGTATCTGTGAAATTGGCTTCATAAATAAAGTCAAATGTGATACAAAATACAGAAAATGAAAAATAATAATAAATTTTTATTTTTATATATTTGGACAAATTAAGATTTTGGTTAAATTTCATCTGGTAATAGATCAGGGGGTGGAGAACCTGCAGCTCTGGGATCACATGTGGCCTTACGGATCCCTTAGTGCAGCATTTTGACTGAATTCAAATTTTAAAGAACAAATCCATTTTTTTTTTTTTTTTTTTTTGCAGTTTTTGGCTAGGGCTGGGTTTGAACCCACCACCTCTGGCATATGGAGTCAGAGCCTTACTCCTTTGAGCCACAGGCAATGCCCCAACAAATCCTTTTAATAATGTACAACAACACAGCAAGACTCTGTCACTAAATTTAAAAAAAAAAAAAAAGAAACCCTATGTGTTTTGGTGACTGCTATTATGGCCTGAAGAATTTTGTCCCTCCTCCCCAAATTTATGTTAAAACCCTAACCCCTAGTACCTTAAGCTGTAACAGTACTTGGCAAAAAAGATTTTTAAAGAGAAAATTCAATTAAAATGAGGTCATTAGTGTGACCCCTAAACTCAAGAAAAGAGAGAAATCCCAAGGATATGCGTGTGCAAAGAAAAAACCATGTGAAGAGGCAGTAAAAGGGCCACCTCTGCAAGCCAAGAGGTCTCAGAGGAAATCAACCTGTTAGGACTTAATTTCTGCTACACTAACTGCTTGTGTCCCTTCAAAATACATACATATATATATATATATATATATACACACACATACAAAATACATACATACATATATATATATCTTAGGGAAGACCTAATCCACAGTGTGATGGTATTTACAGGTGGGGCCCTGGGAAATAATTAGGTCCTGAAAGTGAAGCTCACGGGAATGTGATCAGAACCTTTATAAGGAAAGATATGACTGGGAGGCTGAGGCAGATGGAATGCCTGAGCTCAGGAGTTCAAGACCTGCCTGAGCAAGACCAAGATGCCTTCTCTAAAAATGGCTGGGCATTGTAGCAGATGCCTGTAGTTCCAGCTACTTGGGAGGCTGAGGCAAGAGAGTTGCTTGAGCCTAAGAGTTGGAGGTTGCTGTGAGGTATGACGCCATGGCATTCTACCAAGGGTGACATAGTAAGACTCTGTCTTAAAAAAGAAAAGAGAAGAGAAGGAAAAGGGAAGGGGAAGGGAAGAGATGATCTTTTCTACCATATGGGACATAGCAAGAAGAAGCTGTCTACAAATCAGGAAGAGAACCTTCACCAGGAACTGAATTGGCTAGCACGTCAATCTTCAGATTCCTCAGCCTACAGAAGTGTGAGGAAAAAAATGTTGCTTAAGCCATCCAGTCTGTGGTATTTTGTTATGGCAGCCAAGCTAATTAATACAACTGCCCAGGTACCCAAACAAAGAACCTAAGATAGTCTCTTATAATTGGTCAAATTAATTAACAGAAGACTAAATTATGATTAAGACCAAGAATAATCTGAGCATTTTAAATAGTAAACTAGGTACCCTATGAGTGGTTTATATTTTTAAGGTAATTCGTAAATATCTAAATGAATCCATTATTATCAAACACTTCACCTGCCCCAGCAGTCGGTTCCACTTTATCACTTCCTTTGAATCTTCTAATCCAGGTTCTGAGTCTACTGAATTTGACTCATGGTGTTGTTCACAATACACTGGTTTTTCCTCCTGAAGGGCCATCATAGAGCGGTAAGATGGCTTTATCTAAACATGTACAGAAAATGTGAAAATTTTATATAACATATTCACCTTTGTCTCTTTTCCAGCATATATTGTGTTTTTAAAACATTGAAACAAATGATATGAAAATATTTTCAAAATGCAATCGAGAAAAAATTCTACTTTTATTTGTATACTATTCTAAATAAAGTAAAAACCACAGTTTATAAGCAAAAATTCTTAAACATTGGAGGAAAAAAAAAGAACCCCAATGGTTACATGAAATGGTTTTAATAATTCTATCCCTTTGTTTCCACTTCTTCACCAATACCTACCAGATGAATACTGTGGCTCTAACATATTATGATACCCTGGCTTTAAAATCATAAAACTTTTAGTATCATAAAAATCTAAAGTTTGTTAAATCGTCATTTCTTAATGATAGATTTAACTCCATTCAAACCAATGCAAATCACTTTGTGGTCATAGTACATATGGTGTCTATGTAAATGACCTGAAAGATTAGCGTCTTATAAGAAATTTTTTCATCTTAGAACTAATTCTTTGCTAAAATCATTTATAAAATTAATCTACAGAAAACAACAGTGGAAATATTGTACATTGATCATTTGAATATTTATATAATCCTCTGTGAAAAATATACCTATAAATCAGGGATCTGCAAAGTAAAGCCCACCAAATCTAGCCTGCTACCTGGTTTTGTGAATAAAATTTTTTAGAATACATCATGTCCATTTGTTTAGTCACTGTACACATATGCCTATGTAGCTACTTTCACACTACAAAGGCAAAGTTCAGTAGACATGACAGTGATCACAGGGCCTACAAAGTCTAAAATATTTATTATCTGGCTGTTTACAAAAAATATTTGTTAACTTGTGCTTTAAATCAAACTTAATTTTAAATCATAACAAAACATTTTTCTTAACACATAAAACTGAATTTAATACTTAAAATTCATTAAGCATCTTATAAGTATCAGATCTTACAGCTTTTTTTTTTTTTTTTGAGACAGAGCCTCAAGCTGTCACCCTGGGTAGAGTACCGTGGCCTCACAGCTCACAGCAACCTCCAGCTCCTGGGCTCAAGCAAGTCTCCTGCCTCCACTTCCTAAGTAGCTAGGACTATAGGCGCCCACCACAATGCCCAGCTATTTTTTGGTTGCAGCCATCATTGTTGTTTGGTGGGCCGGGCTAGATTTGAACCCACCAGCTCAGGTGTATGTGGCTGGTGCCTTAGCCGCTTGAGCCACAGGTGCCAAGCCAGCTTTCATGTTATATACATAAAATCTCTGAAGGTATCTTTCTATTAGAAAAATCTATTAAAACAATTGTAGAGACCATGTCATTTCATAAATAAAAAAACATATTATACCACCATTTAATTTCAACAACAGGTCATGCATTTATATATGCTATTAACTTACACAGTCTGGAACTTTCAGTCCTCTTACAGTTACATACAATGTTGATGGATAACGATTTCTTGGACATTTTGACCACCATTCAAAAACCTCAGTAACATTTGATTGGGATCGAGGCTTAGTAGGTGGGTAATACAGCTGTAAGCGAAGTTTTGAATTGATGTTTGCATTTCCATTGGCTCCCAAAAGCTTAAAATAAGAATTTACATAAAATGTTATCTTCATATAAAATAAATATGTCCAATAAAGCAATAGTATAAGGAAACTTCTTTTAAAAGATTAATATGGGATGTTGAAATTCCTTTTAAAAAGTCAAAATCATGGCTCAGCTCCTATAGCTCAGTGGCTAGGGCACCGGCCACATACACCTGGGCTGGCAGGTTCAAACCCAGCCCAGAGCCTGCCAAAACAGCAATGACAACTAAAACAATAACAACAACAAAATAGCTGGGCATCGTGGTGGGTGCCTATAGTCCCAGCTACTTGGGAGGCTCAGGCAAGAGAATCACTCAAGCCCAAGAGTTTGAGGATGCTGTGAGCTGTGATGCCCCGGCACTCTACCCAGGGCAACATAGTAAGACTCTGTTTCAAAAAAAAAAAAAGTCAAAATCATTTTAAGATTATTAAACTCATGAAGGTTATTCATTATTATTTTTTCAATGGATAGTTTAGTGTACTCTCTTAAAAAGATCTACTTTGAAAAATCTATGAACAAAAGAACTTATGTTTAGGCTAAATAAATGGAGAGTCCCATGAGAAAATAAAAAAAATCTCACCAACTCAGAATATGTCTTCTAGACCTATTAAACTAATAGGTCCTCATGACCTATTTATGAGTCATTGTCCACTAGACCATAACTCTAAATAGGACATGTCATTCTAACCTTTGAGTCCTCTACAAATTAGGAGTAGAAAGATAGCTAGATGTCTTTGCAACAGCATAGAAAACATATTTAATAACTGTTACCAACTGATGCAACATGGAAAGTAAAAAAAAAGAAGCAGTCAAAAAGACTCTAAGGTAGCACTGTCCAAGAGAACTTTCTTTCTTTCTTTCTTTTTTTTTTTTTTTTTTTTTTTGAGGCAGAGTCTTACGTTGTTGCCCTTGGTAGAATTTTGTTGCATCATAGCTTATGTCACCCTGGGTAGAGTGCCGTGGAGTTACAGATCACAGCAGCCTCCAACTCTTGGGCTTAAGTGATTCTCTTGCCTCAGCCTCCCAAGTAGCTGGGACTTCAGGTGACTGTCACAATGCCTGCCTATTTTTTGTGGTAGTTGTCACTGTTGTTTGGCAGGCCTTGGCCAGGTTCAAACCTGCCAGCCCCGGTGTATGCAGCCAGTGCCCTAGCCACTGATCTATAGGCACCGAGCCCAAGAGAACTTTCTATTTTAACTAATATAGAATCCACTAGTCATATTTGGCTACCTAGTATTTAAGGTGCAGTAGTATAAATGTGGAACTGAATTTTTAATTATATTCAATTTGAATTCAAATAGCCACATGCAACTTGTGACTACCAAAACAATATAATTCCAAGCTTAGAAACTTGGGAGACTGGTCAGATGAGTAGAAGAGAGTGAGAATAAGAGATTATGTAGAATGTTCACTTTAGGGGAGTGTGAGGTATCTATGGGTCATCTAAGTTAAAATGTCTTGTAGGTAAGTGCATTTGTAAATCTAAAGTACAGGTGAGAAAAGTGAGTTCAAAAAAAGCAGGTTAAAGATGGAACTATGAGTAGGATTCATATTAAAGATGTAGGTGGAAAAGAACATGAAAGAAACTGAGGGAATGGGATAAAGAAAATCAGGAAAGGATGGTGTCAGGAAAACCAAGGCAACGGAGTTTCTAAAGAATGATGTAGTAAATGCACAAATGTGACAAGATAACACTTAAAACATGCTCAATTAATTTGGCCAGTAAAAATCATTAGTGATTTGGTTGGAGAAGTTTAATGGCAGAGAGAAAATACAGACTGTAGTTCAGGAGTAACGTATCAACAAGGAAAGAAAGATGGCAAAATATAGACCATCTTTTCCCCTACCCCTCTAGGAAAGGAAATAAAGACAATGGAGGTTATAAGCTGAGGGAGTGATTAGTGTCAAATGACACAGAGGGGTAAATAACAGTTTCAAAATGAGTAAGACTTATTCAGTCATTAAATATTAGGCACTCCAGACTCTCTTCATAGAGAATACTCCTGGAGTATTCCCAAAGCTTAGTATACTGATTTTAAGTAGATATTCCCCAGCTTCTAAATCATACTTTCCATAAGCTGTTTTAATATTCACCAGGCAATCTAGTTCATACCAGAATGTTGCTTAGCAGGAGTAAACAACAAGATCCAGCAAAGACCTTGCTATTGTGGTTATATGTTACATAATGTAGAGCTCAAATAAATAAGACTTTATTACTTTATAGTTTAAAAATATAGCCATATATATATGTTAAAAGAATTAAAAGGGCCTGGAAACTTGAGGCATAGCTGAGAATGAGAAAAAAGTCTTATTTGAACTCCCATAATAACTTTAAGATTAGATAAGATATTCCTAGAACTAATAATATAGGTAATAAAACATTTAAATTTTTATTTTATTCATGTAATTTTCTTGAAGATTAGTTTTATCCTAGTTACTCTTTCTATATCCATTAGTAATTTCCTCAATAGATATTCACCCAAACACTTTCTGTGTGCTATTAATATGAGGGAGCTAGCTGGTCATATGAAACAGAAAGTTTCAAGAGAGTGATACATTAAATTCAAAGACATCTAATAAAACAAGGGCTAAATTTTTTCAACAAATTTACCAAATATAAGACACTGGTGACTCTGAAAAAGTTACAATCTAATGAAAAAGTACATGGGTGTTACAAAGGTGAAGAAGCAGATAGAATATCCTTAGCAAGGGTAGGCATAGGATCAGGGAGAAATCTTGATTGACATTTCTTCCAATGGCATAAGATGATTAAATAGATAAAAATCCATATAATATTTAAAGGTGAGAATGCTATGAAATACGTTATTGTTTCCCAAGGGCAACTTAATGTAAATAATGCAGAACTGCAGAAATCTTAGCATAAAGGAAATGCAGTTTCTAATAAAACCACAAGATGGCAATGTTTGTGTTTGTTTTGTTTTGTTGGCTTTTTTGCTCTAAATCACTATGGACAGCAATATTAAAAAGGTACAACAGGTTCATAGAATGGTGATTTTAGAAGGTACACTGAACCAAGTGATTCCAAAAGCTACTCTCAAATTAATTCCCCACCACAGCCAACCTGGCTACTATTTGGCCATTTGATTACATCTCTACTAAAGCCTGTGTCTAACCCTCAACATGGATTAAATCCCTCCCATGCATTTTCATAGCATTTATTCTATAGCACATAATCATGTAGGTAACAGGTTTATGTAGAAACTGATTTGGAATGCAAGTAAAATGTCTGATTTATCTAAGAATGGTCTGTGTTTAGGAGACTCCCACACATTTTATATATACTTCAAATACCAATATTTGTTAGATGAACAGATGCACAAATGAAAAAGCTTTTATAAAATAGCACAAAAGACAATAATTGCTTAAGACTTTTCATAATTCTGGGGGAGGTCAGATGGAGAGAAGGTGAATGGTGGGATCACACCTATGGTGCATAATGCAAGGGTACATGTCAGATCTATTAATATAGAGTATAAATGTCTTAACACAATGTTTAAGTAAACAAGATGAGGTACATATTAACCAGTGTGATGTAAGCATTCCTAATTCTATCTGAAATCAGCAAATTGTACCCCATAAATGCATTAATGTATACATGATCTATGTGTTTATGATTTAATAAAAAAAGGCTTTTCATAATTCAAATTTATGACTAAAGTCATAAATAAAGGATACCAGGAATAAAAGATAATTATCAAATTTAAAAAAATTTTTTTAACATCAACCCATTCACATCTTTCATGTCATTTCCTAGTTCAAGACATTATCCTGCTGTAACTAGATCATGGCAAAAATTTCCTAAGTTGATCTTCAAGCATCGCATTTGCTCCTTCTCTAATCCTCTAATCCATTTTCCATACAACGTAAGATCTATCTTTCTAAAACTTAGATCAAATTATTTTATCCTTTTGTTAAAATCCAATGATGGCTTCCCATTGCTCCTTAAAATCTAAACCAGTTTCCTGTTGCTATGATGGCTTAGAACAGCAATCCCCAACCTTTTTGAAATCACGGACCAGTTCATGGGAGACAAAGACCTGGAAAGGGTGGGGTTGGTTGTAGGAGGATTTCAAGTGCATTACATTTATTGTGTACTTTACTTCTCTTATTATTACATTGTAATATATAATGAAATAATTACACAACTTACCATAATACAGAATCAGTGGGAACCCTAAGCTTGTTTTCCTGCAACTAGATGGTCCCATCTTGGGGTGATGTGGGACAGTAACAGGACATCCAAAGTGTGCGGCTTATGTCCTCAGCTCCACTTTGGATCATCAGGCATTAGGTTCTATAAGAAGTGTAACTGAGATTCCTCACGTGCATAGTTTACAGTAGAGTTGAGAATTTAATGGTACTCCTGATATGAGAGGAACTGGAGCTCAGGCAGTGATATGAGGAATGGGAAGCAGTTGTAAACATAGAAGAAGTTTTTTCACCCTCTGCTCACTTCTTGCTGTGCAGCCCAACTCCTCACAGGCCATGTACCAGTACCAGTCCACAGCTGGGGGTTAGAGACTATGGGCTTAGAAGACCCTGTGTAATCACGACCATAGCAATCTCTTCATGCACCATTCTCCCCTCAGTCTCTGTCCTCCAGTTTCTATGATCTTCTTTTGATTTTCTGAATAAGCAAGCCTTACGGCCTCCATCATTAGGGTAATACTCTTCCCCACTGCTAATGCTCAGGGTAAATCCCCTACTTAGGAAACCTCCACCAACCTCATATTACCCTTGTTTTTATCATTTGCCCCATACTGCCTCACAGTATTTATAAAAATTGTAAATAAATGATAAAATTGTGTAATCAATTGTTTTATGTCTTTCTTGGTAGACTATGAAGTTCATAAGGTCAAGAAATTTATCTTCTTTGTTCAGCAGCTAGAACAGTAGCTGGCACACAGAAAATGCCTAATAAATCTTTGTTGAATTAAATAAATAAAGGCAGGGTGGCGTGTGTCTTTTTCAGAGCTGTAACCTCAGGGCCTGAGTGTAGCTAGCACACACTAGACAATCAATATATATTTAAGAATCTGAATGAGCATCATCTGAGCTTGAGTTAATAACTTTTCACCACTGTAGTCTTACCTTAGTTCTTAACTCCTTGTGTAAGACCAGACTCATTTAGGAAAAAGTAGCCCATTAGATGTGAAGATTATTTTAAGTATTTAAAATGGATGAAAAACATACCTTAAGAAATGCCCAGGCAATTTTCCTAAAGCCACATTCTTGATTTTGAATCTCAGAGTTATTCTTAATTTCTTCCATACTTAAGAAATCAAGAATCTACAAATAAATTCCCAAAATTATTCAGAGAAGACGAGGCTGCCTATAATTTTTTCTAGTAATATATTAATAAGATTTAAAAATCATTTGTATAGTACTTAAAAATCTTTCCCTTAAAAAGAGTAAAAATATTTATATCTCATTTCATTCACCTTAAAATTAACTCATCCAGTTAGGGAGGGTCAATTTTTTGACAACTTCATCTTTTATTAATAATTCTTCTATTAAGACTTATTTCAAATCCAAGGCCAAGTATTCAATGCCTTAACTATAGTCTAAGCACAAATATACCAGGCATAGAATTCTTAAACTTTGATAATTTTTTTTATGTATCAGATCAAACTTCAAAGGATTATTTGTTTAAAAAACTCATAGTCTGGGTGGTGCCTCTGGCTCAAAGGAGTACGGTGCCAGCCCCATAAGCCAGAGGTGGCGGGTTCAAAACCAGCCCTGGCCAAAAAAAAAAAAAAAACCTCATAGCCCTCTTTCTGGGTCCTTAATCTGGATCATTTTCTTGAAGTTGTGGGTTTTTTCTTTACATATATGTTGTAATTAAAGTTCTCAACAGAATTTCTTTATTTCTCCATTCTGTCTGGAAGTTAAAGCTCATAGATCTGCAACTAACCTGCCATAGAAACTATCTGTATTCTAGGTACTTGTCAGAGGCTATCACTTTGAACTTATTGGTGCTTACCATGAGCTCAGTTGAGATAATCTTTATAGAGAGAAGACTGCTTAAAAAACAATATGGACTTGGATCGGCACCTATAGCTCAAGCGGCTAGGGTGCCAGTCACATACACTGGAGCCGGCATTTTCAAATCCAGCCCAGGCCCACCAAACAACAATAATGACAACTACAACCAAAAAAAAAAAATAGCTGGGTGTTGGGGTGGGCACCTGTAGTCCTAGCTACTTGAGAAGCTGAGGCAAGAAAATCACTTAAGCCCAAGAGTCGGAGGTTGCTGTGAGCTGTGACGCCATGGCACTCTATCCAGGGCAACAGCTTGAGACTCTGTCTCAAAACAAAACAAAAAAACACAGACTCCATTCATGTTTTTTAAAAGATACTTAAATCTTACAGATATAGTGCATACTCAGGGAAAAAACACAATATAGAGAAATATACAAGCAAAGTAAAAACACCTTGTATTCCAGATCCATAGATAATTACCATTAACATCTGATTTATAGGTATCTAAACCTTTTTCTGTGCATTCCTAAACATACATATGGAACTACAAATTTAAAACATGTTATTTTCATATCATATGTAGTGGATATCTCTTCATGTCAATACATACACATGAATATCACCATGTTAATGGCTGCCTAATTATTATAAATATCATAAATTTAGTAAAAAACATAATTTATTTAACCAAATCTCTTACTATCTAAATTTAGGTTCTTTTATCTTCCTAAAATTTTTGCTATTATAAATAGCACTGAAATTTTTGTACACACACCTTCATGTAAGTGTAATTTTTCCCTTATGATAAATACCTAGAAGTAGAATCATGGTTTAAAGACTTCTGATAGATACTATCAAGCTGTCCTCAATAAACTATTAAAAAGTTGAAATCAAAAAGTAGTTGTATAGGCAATAACACATTATGTTAAAATTGAGAACCAAGCAAAAGTGTTTATAATCCAACAATATATCATTCTTAAATCTCTTAATACTAAGAGAATCTGAAAGAACATTATAATAAATAGCAAATGCCTATGACAAAGATAAAGTTCCTGAGATCTAAATTGTATCCCTTTTTTATATAAATCATACACAAAAATCACAGATGTAAATAGTGTAGTATTTGTATCATAAACACATATAACCTGAAAGTAAAGGATTACTGAAACAAATCTACAAAATGAATCATCAGCTCTGGTTATACCAGGCCCATTGTTGGTCCCATGCTAAAATATTATATCTTGCTTAAACTAAAAGGGAGGCTTTTGCTACTTTCTTTTTTTTATAGAGAAAGAACATGAGATACAGAAATGTAGTATCCTAGCTTCAAACTATTTCCAAATACAGTTTTCTTACACTTGAAATTTGAGTAACTTTAGAGAAATTACTTATACTACAAACCTTGATACCCTTTTCAGTTAAAAAAAATTTTAGAATAACAAGTCACCTCAAAGTCTGTGTATTCTATAACTTTCCTGACTGCTCTGACCCTCCACTAACTCTTCATTCTAAGAAGTTTCAGTTACATTTTACATATTACGGCACTTTTGGTTATACATAAATTGCCTTGTATCTGATCTATGTATGTTTATCTTTATTTATCCAGGTAGTCACATCCTCTTAGGGAACCACATAGCTGGAAGAGGTTATACTTTGTTAAATAGGGTAAAATAGAGGACTCCATTCATATAAGTTACATTCATAACTTTACTACTTAATAGTCATGGGGTTGTTGTAAGAATTAAGTGATACAAAGTCAATAAAATGGCATTAGTAAATGTTCAGCAAATAGGCTATCACTCATTTAAGAAGGGCACCTCACTTATACCTCCACAGCATATTATAAACACTAAATCCTAGGGATTAAATTCTCACACTACTTTGTTGCATTACTGAAGTAACAAAATAATGGCTTATATTTGTGCTGTTAAACACCAACTAAAATTCAGTTGAAATTGCTCTATTCAATTCATACCTCAAAGAACAAGATGACTTTAGGACTCTCATCAAAATCTCGAAGCAAATATGAAAAACTTTCATTGAATATAATTTGTTCTTCCCACTCTGGAAGTCTTGATTTTAATTGCTTAAAATCATACGGCTGGGTCATAATAGGAAGAATATAATCCACACTCTCTTTTTCATAGTAAGATGACACAGGCCGTTCACTGTTCAAAAAATGATATTTACATTAACATAATTTTTTATAATTTTGAGAAGATGAAGGAAAAAATATACAGTATACAAAGTCAGGCAACTAGAAATAATTAATAGCCTTAATAAGATAAAAGGAAAATTGTTTTTATCATCTACCTAAAATTATAAACGTTATGAGACTTAAATGTTGTGCCTTGCTATCATCTTGTATTTATACATTTAGCAGTTGGTCTCACAGAATTATTTTATTATAGAAATATAAAGTGAGAGGTATGATACCACCTTTTCCATATATAGCTGAAATAAAATAATTTCTTCAGAATTTTAAGTATTTGTAACAAAACAGTATAGTAAATTTATTTAAATAAAAAATAAGCACAGGATTGTAAATTTTTGAGCTATCATATTTTCTCTGTATGCCCTAAGAAAACTAAATGAAGTGAATGACCTTTTTGGGACAATCTTCCTCTTTCCCTTCTCTGTCATCTTTCCAAATAAATGATTTTTTGAATTCCAGTATAATCATTTATTTATTGTACTTTTTCATTTGGGTCTTCAAACATGAATCAGCTATAGATGTGATCTTAGAACAAAATCCAAGATTCATTTACCTTACCTAAAGCCCAGGTAACAATTTCAAAAAAAAATATTAGGTTAGACAACTAAAGCATTTACAATGCAATATAAGATCTTTACAAAGTAAGTTTTATGTCATAAATTAGCCATTAAGCATAGTAGAAGCTTTCTACCACTTAATTTCCTCCCCTCCATTAAACTGAATTGCTGAATTGACAGATGTTCTCTATTTCTCCTACTGACATATATTGATCAGTGCCAATGGTTGGTGAAGACCTACAACTAGTAGACTAGTCTCTAATATAAATCTATGGCTCAGTCACATTGACTTTCAACTACCAATGGAAGAAAAGAGAACTTATACTATAGACAATTTCAATTCAAGGGTTAGCTATGCAATTAAAAAAATTACCTATCATCTTTCTTGACATACTGACCAGTATACTCATCAACCACATGAATTTTTACCATTGGATGAGAAATCATAAAATCTGACTTAAGCCGATCAGTTCGATGAATGTAGACTCCCAAGACAAGGTTATCATCAAGCAAACATTTGGGATAAACTGGACTGTCCCGGCTTGTTATTTCATGAACACCATCACCATCTTCATTACCATCTGGAACTACATGCAAGGAAGAAAACAACATTATAATTGTTCCCACAGTGGGATTTACACATAACCTAATCTATACGGTCTATAAATATTTCACTTTATTAAAAGAACATCAAAAGAAAGAAGAAGCCAGGCAGCAGCAGATCATACTCTGAGAGTAAATACCACATCTACTAATGCATTAAAATATGGTAAGGAATCTTTTTGCTCCCTAACAAGAACTAACAACACAAAAAGAAAAAAAATGAGAGTCAAAGACAAAAAAGTAATTTTATCTAGGTATCTAGGTGGAATGTATACTATTAAATTCATTTATGATCAGAATTTCTACTTCTGGGTAAGATATAGCAGGTCAGCCCTTTGGGTAACAACTAGAAAAAGCCAAATAAATTACAAAAACTTTATTTTAAAGGCATCAAAAAAGTGAAAAAGCAAAACAAAACAAAAAAACACATATACTAGAGGACTATAATTCCAGAGAGGAAAATCAGTCAGAGGTAAGCAGAAGGACTTGCAGCTGTTATATCTGCTGACTCAGGAGGGTGTGGGCTGAGGTTCAGAGTTTGTCCCAACAAGAAGGCCACTGGGAAGAGAAATAAAGCAACAGAACTTTTAGTGGTTCCGTGGATTAAAATAAAAACAAAAACAAACAAAAAAAAAACTGAAGACTTCAGTTTCACATAGCCAAAGTTTCTTTCAGAACAGAATTCTGAGGCTATGGAGAGACTAGAGAAATAGTGAAATCTCCCAGTCTTGTGATGCTAGCAGACCATGACCAGCCAGTTGGAGGGGCCTGAAACAAAACAGGCAAAGATAAAGCTCTAGAAGGTGTTGTCAATTTAAACTGAAGACCTATAGACACCTTTCACCTGAGGTCATTTACCAATTCTGGGCACAGGTGAAAGTTGAGAATCTAGGCATGAACCCCTTCAGAGGGGTGAAACCAGAAGAGATTTGTGCATTCACATGGGCTACAGTGAGGAAACTGAAGATTTGAAGAGCCTCAAAGACATGGCCAGTCTCCTCCTAAAGACATTTGCCAAATTTTGAAGCTGCATGGGGCAGAAGACTAAATAGCTATGCTGAAAAGCACTGAGGGGTAAAACTAAATCTCTCGCAGTTTTTTAGGGTTCAAGAGACAAATACCTGACAAGGTCTCAGTCTGAAACACCAGGAGGACCATAACCCTGAGAAAGAGTGAATCAGAGATAGAGTCTTATGAAAATTACAACCCTGCCCTGACATAGCTCGATTCCTGATGGCTAGAAATCAGTTGCCTACACTATCTGCCTACAACAAGAAAGAACAAAACTCTCTCTAGTGGAAGATAAAATCATCTGGGGCCTCTAGGATTCTATACACAATGTCTAGTATATAATAAAAAGTTACTAGACACAAAAGAGGCAAGACCATATGACTAATAATCAGTAGAAAAAAACAGACAATAGAAACAGACGGAGAGATCACCCAGATTGAAGTTGGCATATACAGATGTTAAAATAATTATAATTAATATGATCAAGAAAATCAGGAGAAAGATGGGCAAAAAATTTTTTAAAATGGAGATTTTTTTAATAAAGAATGAGAATCCATAAAAAACATTCTAGAACTGTAAAATATAATGTTTGAAATTATAAATTGAACAGTTATGTCTAAGACATAAAGACACAAAAGAAGACATGATTGGTAAACAAAAGAAATATATATAAATATTCTAACTGAATATATTATAAATATTATATTATTCCTAAATAAGGTCCAATGGGAAATAAAAAACAAAGTAGGAACATAAAAGAACAAAAGAAACATGTGGACACATCCAAAAGAACTGAAACATATGAAATTATAATCTAGAAAAAGAGGAGAGAATGTTAAAGAAGACATTTTTAAAAAATGGCCAAGATTTTCTCCAACTGATAAACAAAATCAAATAGTAAGATCTATACAGAATAAATTCTAATAAAACCATATTTAAGCTTAATGATGAAACACTACAGCTAGTCAGAGAAAAAAAGACACATTCCCTTCAAAGGGTTAGAAATAAAAGTGATGCTAGAAACAGAAATGACAGAACCCAGAAGACAATTGTACAACTTCTCTAAAATGCCAAAAAAAAAAAAAAAAAAAAAAAAGAGAGAGAGAGAGTGTTAGTAACCTAAAAATCTATACTAGCAAAATAGTTCAAAATGAAGACAAAGCAACTCAGTGCCTGTGGCTCAAGCGGCTAAGGCACCAGCCACATACACCTAAGGTTTGAATCCAGCATGGGCTGCCAAAACAACAATGACGGCTGCAACCAAAAAATACCCAGGCATTGTGGTGGGCACCTGTGGTCCCAGCTACTTGGGAGGCGGAGGCAGGAGACTCGCTTGAGCCCAGGAGTTGGAGGTTGCTGTGAGCTGT